AAGGTCAACATAAATAGTCAAAGCAGCTGTTGGCTATAAAAACATCCAAAACACAACATAAACCAAAATGTATTCTACTAATGTAGGCATCTATATTATATATATATACACGTAGCAATATTTTAATCTCATTCTATCAAAAAGCTGCCAGTAGTGCTGGTTGTTGTTGCATTTGTAACTCTGCATCATATGTGCAAAAATTTATTTTAAGTGATTATTCCAAATGAAATTCCAGGCAATCGTTGAACGAATCGATTAAGAAAATCTCTCTAGTTCACAAATGAATCGAATTGTTTGACAATTTCCAGAAAATGAATTTGGTCGAATCACTTAAAACTAATTTTTGTGAGTCTCATAGTAACATATTGCTCCACTATGAAGTTATAATGGAAACAACAATTTGATGACCTAGTGAAACTTAATTCAACACATTCAATTAACACTAACATGATGGAATATTGCAGTAATATTTTAAAGGGTACAGATGTAGCTGTCATCAGCACTCCACCCTACAGTAGACATAGTCATTGTTCAGAGGAAAATGTTCTTATCTTTCTACTCCCTCCATAATTATGGAAATGCTTCCCTACCCATTGGTTGGAAATGTGAGATTCTCTTCTGGTGAATGTACTAAAACTTGATTCTGATGCGTCATATTTGGTCCTCTCACTCCCAATTTGAAATTCCTGTTTTTGAAATGTATTTTTTTTCATAAAGATCATAGGAAATATTCCAATTCTGAATATGACTGAGTATATACTGTTTTATGTGCTCTGCATGTTAATATTTTAATTAGAATGCTATTTTTATAGACAGGGTAATTTATGTGCAGGTGTAAATCAGGAGATGCGGTATAAAACAATGAAGTAAGTAGCAGTCGAGATTCTAGGGATGTTGTAGAATGTTCAATGAGAAACAGGTGCAAAGTGGTCAGCAGTATCTTCACTGAATGATATTGGCAGAGAAAATATGTTCCAAATCTCTTCTTTTAGAAGAAAAGGCTGTTTCAAAAATGGATAGAGAAATGAAATAGTGCATCTGTAATGTTTGTTGATACATTGTGGCTCGGTTTCAAAATCAGTCTTACTATGAAAATGCAGACACCTGTAGAATAAATTGAGACTTATCAAGTTTGATTTCAACTATTTTATTCATGCAGATATAATTTTATTCCGTACATCATTAAATTAGCAACATATTGTCAAAAACTATTTGATGAAATATCTTCATTTATTGAAAGACAAATTTTAGAATTGTGGCCACCATTTTTAAATTTATATAATGTGATATACATCTATTAACTTTTCTTAACTAAATGGTAGTTTATGCAATGTGAATTTACTATAATAGCTATAATTCTAGTTATTATATAACCAGAGTAGTGCAGTGTGCAATGATACATTGGTCTAATATAACTCCCTTGCCATCTTTAACATCCCTTGTTTTAAGTGTTACATTCTAACATATTGATCAGCATTGCTTTAGACCTGACGAAGGGTGGAAAACTCAAAATCTTGCTGTTTTATTTATTTTTTACATTTTTTTTTGTTGGCAAATATATATACCAACAATATGCCAGAAACATACGAGTTTCATATATGACAGATAGTGCCCATTTTAAGTTAGATAATATAAGCATAGATGAAACAGAAACAGTTGTTGAATTAAATGTAAAAGATAAGTAATTCTAGATATGAGCTGTCTGACAGCTTAATATGCTAATATGCTAGACATAACTGCTAATGTATATGCTGTGGATAATGCTTCATGACTCTGAGCTCAGGGGTGGGAGGGCATGGGTTGCTGGGTAATATTATGCAGCTTTTCTCGCGGCAACATCGCACAACCTGAACCCAATTCTTCCGGTGAAACTCTCGATCGTAAGTAAATCAGAGTCGCGTAGTATGAGCTCTTATTAGTGTAGGGAGAGGATGCTGCAGCTGTGAGGGACAGCTTAGGAAAGAATTCTGCAAACTAGTACATTAGCTGGGTACACTTCATATCTGAGAGTCAAATAGAAGCTTCAAATACCGCGGTTACATCAGAGTTTTAAAAAGTAAATTTTTTTGGTGCTAAATAGTACATTAGTGGGATAGTACATTAGTGGGGTGCACTTCATACCCGAGAGTCAAATAGAATCGTCAAATACTGCTGTCACATTGCAGTTTCAAAACTCTAAATTTTTTGGGTGCTAAACTGCTAAATAGTATTTTAGTGGGGTGCATCATATCTGAGAGTCAAAACGAAGCGTCTCATACTGTGCTTACAGCGCAGTGGTAAACATTCTAATTGTTTTGCTGCTAATCTGCCAAATAGTAAATTTTGGGGCCTGCTCTTCATATCTGAGAGTCAAATCGAAGCATCGAATAGTGTGCTTACAGTGCAGTTATAAAAATTCTAATTTTCTGGGTGCTAATCTGCTAAATAGTACATTTTGGGGCCTGCTCTTCATATCTGAGAGTCAAATCGAAGCATCGAATAGTGTGCTTACAGTGCACTTGTAAACATTCTAATTGTTTTGCTGCTAATCTGCTCAATAGTACTGCTCTTGGGTCCTGCTCTTCATATCTGAGAGTCAAATAGAAGCTTCTAATAGTGCGCTTACAGCGCAGTTGTAAACATTCTAATTGTTTTGCTGCTAATCTGCTAAATAGTACATTTTGGGAAACAGTAGAAAACACACCCTAATGAAAATATAAAGGAAGACAAATAGTGCAGACTAAAAAATAAATAAAAATCAAACCATAAAAAATATAAAAAATACACTCACAAACAAAGATATTAATAGGCAGGATATAAATAGTCTTCTTAAAGTGCTTCGTCTCTTCTTGGTGTAGAAAATGCTTAAAACAAAGCACAAAGACAGACCATAGTGTGTAACTGTATAGTATTAAAAATTGTAACTTTTATTGGATACACTTACAAAATGACAGTAGTTATCGGGCTCTTCACATCATATGTCAATGTCTTCCATCAAAATAATAACCCTCAGGATACACAGAAGAATGGGGACAGAGGAGATGGAGAGATCCACAGTAAAAACAATAACAAAGCTTGCCACCCTACGCGTTTCGTCAAAATGACTTCATCAGGGGCTTGTAGCAGCACAAAATAAAATACAACAAAATACACAATAAATATCCTGCCTTTAAAAATCTGTGACCAATCCTGACGGTGTCTTCAATCAAGCGCATCTGTAATTAATCTCCTCCGCCGGGTTTCAGTATTCTTTTCGCGCTTTCGGAGGCACGTGCGCTCCAAGCCTCATTCTCACGTGAAACCGGAAATGCTAGTGCGTCTATGTCCGGAACGCAAATGCGTTCCACTTCTGTCGGGAACCGGAAGAATAAGCTCGAAATAGAGCGCAATCTTTACTCTTCCCTCCGAGGCCGGAAAAGAAATCCAATATGGGAGGATAGAAAGGTTCCATTTGTAACACATATGGAACACTCATCAGGAAAAAAAAGGGAATATATCAAAAACAGACAACGAATAAATATTAAAATATTGAAAATAAAAAATAAAATAAAACAAATATATTGTCAATAAAAATAAATACAAGGAACAGATTATAAAAAACATGCCATATCAAAATCTACATTCATACCCTCTGGTTGCATTGTTTTTAAAGTATGAATCCAGAAACCTTCTCTTTGCCTTAGTTTTAGTACCAAATCTCCCCCTCTTGCATCTAAAGACACCTTTTCAATTCCTACACATGAAAAAACATTTTGGGGCCTGCTCTTCATTTATGAGAGTCAAATAGAAGCATAACTTTGATTCGAATTTAATACATCGGTCACTTGTAATATTGTTTCACACCTACAACACTTGTTACACAGATCTACTAAGTGATAGAAAACAGATTGCTATTTTCTACACTAGAAACTACCAGATAACAAGCTGCTATATTTAAACCAGTTATCAATAGCTAAGAGGTACTTAAACAATATTGTAATTATGGGGCAATACCCTCACAAGTCAAACTGATTTTTGACTGTTGCCTGTTGCCTGGATACAATTCTAAAACATATGTCCTTTGCAGACTTTACATGCTGGAAAAACACAGGTAACAACTGCTGTGGCTTTCTGCAGTGTGCATACCGGCAAGGAGGGCAGGGTTGAGGAGTGGTTGGAAGATGATGTGGAGGATGATGGGGTCCTAGACCCCACATGGAATCATGGTCCTGCGAGTGACGTGTGCAGTTTGGAGGAAGAGGCGCTGGTCGCACAGAGGCACCAGCACAGCATAAGAGGGAGCAGGGTGAAAAAGCGGAGCGTCGGTCCTCTAGCGCTCATCGGCATGTATTACCTTTAGAATTCCCACAGTTATCCAAGTAGCAGTTGAAGCGATAAAAAGAACCATAACAGATTTAACGAGCCATTCGCAGTCCGGTGACCGGGACCCAGACACTGTCTGGGCGGCGGTCGGGCGTCCGGGACCCAGTATGCCTGATTTAGAAGTAAGGTGTAATGGATTAGCAGGTTCTGGTGCAGGGTAACCGCATGCCCCCTGGTGTTGAGCACCAGCGTTTGTGCTGCCACATACCAGGACCCTGATGCAGCTTCATCAGAAGCCATCACCAGACTGATCTGCAACTTGGAACAGGATGTGACATTCACTGTAGCGGCTGTGCGTGCTTTCGGAGTTCTCACCCTGCTGCTGCTCGCCTGTCTGCGCAGCAGCGTAACTTTGGCCTTCCCGCTCACTGCCTCATATGCGACGTGCCCACAAGGTGGAACTCCACCTTGCACATGCTGGAGAGACTGCAGGCGATAGTGGAGTTTCAGCTGCAGCACGCACGGGTCAGTGACTCTGCACCAGACTTCCCTCCAATTGATCAGAGCTAAAGGATTTCAAGTGGACTCATTACAATTACAGGGCCTCTAAAGAGTCCAGTATTGTTATTTGTCGTCACTACCTTCCCGCGTTGGGAGTGGGTCCTTTGCGCGCCTGCTGCCTTCCTTGCATGTTGTAGTAGTTTGTCAGTTGCCCTGTACTGAATCGAACCCTTATTCCCCGTTACCCGTGGTCACCATGGTAGGTGCACTTAATGGCATCGAAAGTTGATATGGATTGACATACGAATGCGTCATTGCCTTCTCGTTGGGGAGCACATTGAAAAAGTGCTCTAGCATGATGAGCTGGGTGATCTCCTCTGGGAACTTGGCTTGATGGGAGTTGAGCCAATTCTGGGTGGCCCTTTTGATGCCACGGTGTATACCCAGATATAGCAGAGCTGCTGCCGAAAGTGCAGGCCGTCTGAGCGCGCTTTTGGCGTTCTCACCCTGCTGCTGCTTGCCTGTCTGCGCTGCAGCATAACTTTGGCCTTCTGCTCACTGCCTCATGAGACTGTGCGAGCAGCAGCAGGCAATAGTGGAGTTTCAGATGCAGCACGCAAGGGTCAGTCGCTCTGTGGAACAGTTTTCTTTTTTTAATACGTCCCAATATTTTGGGGGCTTCCCCAATTAAAATAAAAAATATATATAAAAAACAGTGTTGGCTACCTCCTCCTCCTCCTCCACTGCCGCTTCCACCTACACCGCCACGGTCACCGCCTCCTCAACCTATGGGTCACTTAGTATAAACTATGTACACAATAGCAGAGGCTTGTGAAGGCCTTTCCTCCATGTATCAGGAGTTGAGCTCAGTTTAAACAATGAAAGAATACCCTGCACTCAAACCCTCTCTTAAATGGATAATTCTGTTGATCCTCCTGACAGCCATGCTTTAGATTTTGATTTATGTTCTTCCAAAGCTAAAAATCAAAGATTCCATCTAGTGCTATTTTATGGCTTAGCTGTATTTTTAATTTTTATGTTTTTTTAAGTGATTTCCCTATTCACATTTGTTTGCAGGGCACTTGTCCTACTCTTACCCCCATTTTACTTCCTTTTGCAGCTCTCTAGCCCTTTCCAGGAGTTTTTTTAGAGGCATTTTTGGGGCCAAAAGTTTGGGTCCCCATTGACTTCAATGGGTTCGGGTTCAGGGTCAAGTTCGAGCCTGAACCCGGACTTTTTTTCAAAGTTTGGCTGAACCCGCCGGACCCGAACATCCAGGTGTCCGCTCAACTCTAAATCTTAATGTCTTATATAGTTCTTTTTCAATATTCTCGTTTCACCTTTATTGGATCAATTTATATACATATACACACACATTATATATATATATGCTATATACTTGCATGCCCTGCTCTGCTGGTTTTTCTCTTTTTGTTTTCTTTTTAACTAGCTTATTGACTATCCTTTATTTATTTACTTTTTCTCAGCTAACCTGCACCTTTCACTTCCAGGCAGATATTCTGTTATTTATGACACCCCACTCCCTCCCCTCCTCTAACATCAGTTGTTTTAAGTGTTAAACTCTATCAGATTGATCAGTATTGCTTCAGACCTGAGGAAGAGAGGAAAACTCTAGAAAGCTTATGTTTGAAATATTATGTTAGTCCAAAAAAAAAAAAAAGGTATCACTGCATATTGCAATACTCTGGTATTTTGGCATTATATGTCTATATCTATCTATCTATCTATATTTATTATGTGTTTATATTACTCAATCATCTGGGGTGGAAAGACGTAGCCTTACATATTATTGGTATATTTCTTTTATTAATTCAAAATATTGGTCCTTTCAGAGTGTGTGTAATATTGTAATATATATATATATTACACACAATACATGGCACAATGACTTATGGGGCTGGCATAGATTTTTTTTCCAGGGCTGATTTGTATCCCCAGTCCAGCCCTGCTCTCACTGAAGCGAGGTCTGCCACAAATAGCTAGTGGATATTGCGTAGAGCTTTAATATTACCCTTAGTGGAAGGTAGCTCATTATCCTCATCAGAGGAGTAGTGATGCAGTTCCCCAGTAGTTGGAATATCGTCAAGTAGATCTCGGGCCGGTTCCTTGGAAGAGGCCAAAAATAAGTTGTCATTTTCTTTTGGCTGAAAAGCTCCAGGGGCTTTTGCAGACCAGATAAAAACATCTCCAATATCATTGATATACAAAAAAAAAAGATTTTAGAAGGTAGTTCAGGTAGATAATTTGTTAGAGAAGTTCACCAGACGAAAAGCTTTGCTCCAGCTAATCAAATGCAGCAATGCAGTGAGGACTCCGTATTGGAGAGGATAAAGAATAGATGCCACCTTGTCCATTACTAAACTACCCTATTCTCGAAGTATAGAGGGTAGTGGAATGATATGGGGGTGGGGGGTATTGCATATTTCCCCTGATTTTCAAAGCAACTGACTCATTAAAAGTAGTTGACAGTTTTTCATATATATATATGACCACTAGACCACCCAAGTGCAGCAATATGTGATAAAATAAAGGTAATTACTTCCCTTATATTATAGGTGTGAACAAAAAGACTCCTCAAATTCTTAAATGGAAATATAAAATACAAAATACACCTAAAGATAAAAACAGAGACAAGATACACTCATAGGGAAGCACCATTAAGCAAGGTTACCCCTACTGGTAATATTACACTCACAGAATATATGAATTTTCAAGCCCATCAATATCTCTTTTGAAGTCTCTGCAATGGAAGCTCTCAATTCCCAAGGGTGTATGCAAAAAAAGAAGAACTGGACATAGTACAGCAAGGTTTTAAAGTATAAAATAACACACTTTAATTGAATCCACTTACAAGAAGTAAGATGTAAAAACACCCATCAATAAATCTCTGTATCACTCTATCCGAAGTGGTGTGCAGTAGAGATGGTTTACAGGAGTTACAGGCAGTAATTAAAACAGCTCAACGCATTTCGTCTACTATGTAGGCTTCATCAGGAAAAAACAAATTATAAAAACAAATATCACAGACAAGTAAAGTGCTAATATAAACTCTATGTTCAAAGTTCCTTTTAAATGTCCCTGTCGACGTGTTCAGCATCTGTTCCACCAATCAGTGTAGCTGCAATCACCTGTCAGCAATCATTCACTCGAATCTCTATCCATATATGGTCTTCCGCCGGATCTTCGTGGAACGCATATTATTCCACCGCTCTGGAAACTGCCCGCCTTTCAAGACGTCATCAGCCCGCGACTGGGACGCACATGCATTCCACTCCATCAAACTCGTCGGACGGCATAAAGAGAATAATCGAAGACAAAAGAGACCCAAAATTACATAATGAAAAAAAACTTCAAATGAATACATTCATCATACAAAATAGAGAAGATGTTATTATATTCTGTACAAAAAAAAAGTATATTCTTCTTGCATCCCACTCTAATTATAGGGAACAATTCTGGAAACCACAAACTATTGAGAGAAATGTGGAAAATACATGTAAAAAAAAAATATATGAAAAATATAGATATACATATAAACTAAATAAAAATTTAATAAAACAAACTGAAAAATAAGAAATAATAAAATTAAATGAAATAAAAATAGAAAATAAATAAAAAATAAAATGAATATAAATACCAATAAAAGTACCAATAAAAATCCCAAATATCAAAAATCAAAGAACACAAATTAAATCAAAATCCACGTTTAGCCCTAATTGTTGGAGAGTTCTCCGTTTATGAATCCAGAATCCCTCCCTCTGTCTGAGTTTCATGACAAGATCTCCTCCCCTCACACCAAATGATACTTGCTCAATACCAACCACGAAAGATGATTAAAGTGTGGGCACTGGTTACAATGAACCGGAACACCATGATTTTGTATCCCCTTCTTGATGTTATTTTTATGCTCCAGGAAACGTGTCTTAGCCTTCCTCCCTGTTCTTCCCACATACTGTGCACAACATCCACATGAGAGGAGGTACAGTACATGGGAGGAAGAACAGGTGACCTGTCCCTGCATTTGAAACGTCTCCTTGGTGGTAAAACTTGAGAAGGAATATGTATGGGACGGTTGTCCCCTACATGCTTTGCATAAGCCACAAGTATAAAATCCCTTGTTGCTTTGGGACTTGTGTCCAGTCTTTTTCTGAAAAAGACTGGGTGCTAAGTATGTGGATAAATTCCTTCCTTTCCTATAAATTATTCTGGGATGTTCTGGAAGTATATTCCAATGTTTTCTAAAGATTTTATTTTTGTATTGTACTGAGTGTTAAATGAAAACTCAAATGATTTGTTAGAATTAATAGTAGGTCTAACTTTATCTTTACCAAAAGATCTCCCCTTTTAATATCTCCAATTCTTTAAACTTCAATATCCAATAGCTCTTTCTTAAATCCCTTCTCCACAAACTTCCTTGTTAAAACTGCAGTTTGTTTTATATACGTATTACTATTAGAACAATTCCGTCTAAGTCGCGTATACTGGCTTTTAGGGACTCCCGCCAACCATCTAGGATGGTGCCCACTATTGGATTCGATAAAACTGTTAGTATCTGTGGATTTAAAGTATGTTTTTGTATGTATTTGGCGGTCTTGAATAAAGATCGTCAAATCCAGAAAAACTTTGCAAATAGAACTAAAAACTGGAGTGAAAATTAGAGAAAAGGTGTTATTAAGATACTCTAAGAAGTCTAATAGTTGTTCTTCAGAACCCTTCCATATAACAAGGATGTCGTCAATATAACAACGCCAGAGCACAAGGCTTGCCCCGTATGGATTATTGTCCCAAATGAACTGGCGTTCCCAAAAATCCATAAAGATGTTAGCATAACTCGGGGCAAACCTGGTGCCCATAGCTGTACCCTTGATCTGCAGGAAGTACTCATCATTGAACATGAAGAAATTGTGGGTTAATATAAATTGAATCGCTTCAAGTAGGAACCCTGCAAATCCTTTGTTCAAAGTTATATCTTTGTCTAGATTATCTTTAACGGCTTGTATACCCAATTGCTGGTCAATAACCGTATACAAGGATCCTACATCTAAGGACGCCCACATATAATCATCATGCCATTCTATGGAGTCTAATTCCTGTAGAAGATGTTTGGTATTTTTTAAATAAGATTGAGCCAATTGAGCGTATTTCTGTAAAAAATAATCCATAAACTGAGATAAATTCGAGGTAAGTGAGTTAATTCCACTTATAATCGGTCTACCGGGTGGCTTTATTTTACATTTATGCACTTTAGGCAGAAAGTAGAACGTTGGGATCC